CCCCCCCTCCACCCCCACGGGATACGATGTCCGCTTATGTTTGGGGAATAATATTTTACTTTCCGTTATCGCAATGTTGTATTGGGATGCAAAGAAGCAATTGTCATTCCGATGAGTGAAAACGTGCGTGGACGCATATTACCTCGTGTGAGACGTGGTCTCGAAACGATATCTTAATTATTCATTATGTCTTATCGTTTGTCGTTGCCACTGTCATGTTCGCATTGTTTATGCCATGTCGAGGAGCGGCGAGTAGTGGCATAGGGAGGCGGAGTGGGCTGAAAAAGAGAGATGCTTCGCATATGCTCCTCCCGCCTCCCGCTCACCCCCCATTGCACAGGGTCAGCCCTTCCCCCCGCGACCCCTCGACCTGACCCAGCGACCCACCGGCGCGGGCGCCGCGGGCGGCGCGCGGGGCGCGCGGTGCCGGTAGAGTCGGTGTTCTTTTGTCGCGCGTTGCCAAGGCGACGGCAGCAACGCTTTCGGCGTCGTTAAGCTAGTCGTTGGTGCGCCGTTAATAAATGATGCGACTTGGCTCGCGACTTGCCCCGTTGGCCCCGTCCTCCTGGCGCCGTTAAGTGCACCTCGCCGCCGTCCCTCGCAAGTTCCTCGCCGTCCGTCCCCCCCGGAGCAGGCCCCGCGGAGCAGGCGATGGTGGCCGCCACGGCGGTCAGGACGCCGCGCGCCCGGCCCCGGCCCGCCCGGGCCCTCAGGCGCTGCGGTCTTACCTCGGCGCCCCCAGGTGAGCAGGCGTGGCGCTGGGCAGCGGCCAGAGAAATGAGCCGCGGACCAGAAGAGAGCGATCGCGGAGGAGCAGGAGAACGGCCCGCGGCTCGTCAAGGGTGCGAGGCGGGCAGCCCAGCCCCAGCCGGTCTCTGTCTCTGGCGCACTGGCGTGGCGATCCTGCTGCCGTTGTTGTTGTTTCTCTCGGCGGCTCCACCCCCCGACCACAACAACCACCCCACCCGCCCCATCCCTCACGTCACGCAGCCACCACCCCCCAGGTTGAACACGTTTGTCGAAATTATCTCAAAAATGACCTTACTAAGACGCTCATTGTCAAAATTTTCTGCGGCTACGTACCTAGATTAATATCATTTGGACGTAAGATGAGGGTCATTGACGAGTTTCTGACGACTGTTGCGTGTTCCGCCTGGGCCCGGAGCCGACGCACGCACGACGCATGGTGACGGTGACGGAGACAATTTTTGACCTAAGTCTGCCTTGCCATTTAACGCCATGTAACGCCATTTAACCATTCTCGCGTTTCTCTTGTAATCATCTCTGAATGAAGAGAATGCTGCGTTTCCGGCGCAGTAACGTAAGTTAGGACCTTTAGGGAATTCCCCGTAGACATCCCATGGATGGAGAGGACTAGGCGGTCATTCCCTCTTCACAACAAGATGTTATTTCTCTGCAAAATAAACCGAAAAGGACTTTCCAGCCAGTCGGGGTGTGCTCCGAGGGGTCGTACTGCCCGTAAACGTAGGATTTTGAAACTCCCAGGCGACTCTAAACCGTCTAAACCATGTTCGAAGTGAGATCTGAGAATGTGAGACTAGAAATGACCATCTCTGACCACAGCCGAGACGACCCCCCTCCTCCCCCCTCCCCTCCCCGCCATCCTCGCCGCCGCAGTGTGCTCCAGGCCGCCAGAGAGTCAGGCAGCCACCAAAATGGCGGATACGAAGATGAGCCCCGATATATGGAAATCGTGGGACAGACAAGGAAAAGTGGAATTGTAAGTATATTTTGCTCATATCTCGACCACCGTCAATTTTCTTGCGTCACGTTGCGTACGGCGTCAGCGGACCGCTTTCTTAAACCAACTGTAGAACTCATGTTTTGTAAACAGTCCGTTCTCGGCTTCCCGTGCGATCTCGTAAATGTTTCCGTATCAATTAAAGTATTTATCGATATTTTAATGTAAAATGTCCATTGATTTTTGCTACATCGTTACTGTTTGAGTGAGTACGTCTGTGTACAATAGATATAAATGTGTCCTGGCGGATTCGGATACTATAACCTATCTAAGTGTAGGGGTAAAGAAATCTATCAAAAACCTGTTCATTTACTGTACTTAGTTGCCTCTCCTTGTGGGGTATACTGTTCCCTCAAAACTGCAATACTAGTCTGTTCTTAATTCTTTGATTTCTCCCATAATCAGTTCTTTAATTGACCCTTGTTCCAGATGCGGATGTTTGCAATATGTCCTTTCATGTTTTTATTTGTGCTTACAGCATGTCCAAATGTACAGAAGCCTTAAAGTCATGTGATGGAAGTCCTGTATTTCAGTCAGGAAAAAAGACTTCAGGTATTCCTTTTGTGATCCTTATCACTTCAATTTGATTAGTTCAATCGTCTCGCACCCTAAGCTTCGATTCCTAAATAAAACTTCCTCTCTTTCAGATTTGACCCGATGGATATTTCAATTACTGAGAGCTGCCCTCAATGGGCAGGTGAAGAAGGAATCTACTATTGCTTTCCTAGAAGAGTTTTCAGTAAGTTTAACTTCACATTTTCTGAATGTAAATTCTGTATGTTGTAATTTTTTTTGTAACTCTTATGTCCATTTCTCACTGCTAAAACGGATTCCATTGCTTTTACAGAAATTGCACTCCGACTTACCAGCACTGATTTTAGACATATTCTGTATTCTTGATGCCGAAACTGGAGGTGTTGAACTTTCAGAAGAGCGAATGTGTTTCAATTTTCTTTTGAAGGAGTCAGAAAAGGTGACATTGCGTTGTGTCTTTTGTCTTTAATTTTAGGAAATCTTTGTAATCATTTGTTGTTTTCTTTTAGTTTCTGTCAGACAGTCTCATGAAAGAAAGAGCAGAAATTGATACACTTCAAGAAGTTGGAATTTTAAGAAACCGAAACTTTTATACCAAGTTTATAAAAGTGAAAACAAAGCTATAGTAAGGACAAATTACATTAATGCCACCTTGTTATGTATGTAACATATGCATCCTCTACTTTGGATTTTTCTGCTTTTAGCTACAAACAAAGAAAATTCAACTTATTTCGGGAAGAAAGTGAAGGATATGCCAAGTTAATTGTTGAACTTAATCAAGGTCTCTCTGGTGACCCTGTGGTAACATTGGAAGCCATTAAGTCATTGATTGGTAAGAAAAATTTTCTTCCAAAAAATTTTTCTTTTATTTTCAGAATTTTTGACTGATGCTTTACATTTTTTTAGGTTGCTTCAATTTGGATCCTAATCGAGTGTTGGATGTGATGTTAGAGTCTTTTGAATGCCACCCCCATGAACATGAATACTTTGTGCCTCTTGTACGGTCTTACATGCATGACTCAAAAATCTTGTGTGATGTTCTGGGATTCAAGTATTCCTTATATCAGGGTCCAGGAGCTGAGAGAACTCCGAAGTCACTATTCCTCCTCACAGCTATTATGCTTCAGTATGAACTGATCACTCTTGAAGATCTGCTAGTTTGGGTAAGATTTATTTAGGACTTAAACTATAAAAGTGTTTAGTTTTCAATAGTCTAATCTGTTCTTGCATCTTCAGTTGGTTCCAGATGATGCTTCAATTGTGAAGGAATGGGAAGCAGAAATGTTAGATGCTAGAGACCAAATCAGAAAGATGAATGTGGTGTCTGTAAATAAGGATGAGAAGAAAGAGGAAGTGCCTGAAGAAAAAGAATCTCCTTTGGAGAAGGTAATTGACTGATTTTGTACACTATCCTAGTACTACAGTATCACAGTACAAACTCAGTTAACCATTTTAATTCCTTTTTTAACAGTTTGCGGCAAATCAAAAGTTTGGATTGTGTGAAGCTCTTCTCAATATTGGCGCATGGCCTGTTGTGAAAGACTTGTGTAAGAGGTTGCCTGATCATTTCTTGATAGAACAACCCACTATTTCAAAAGCCATGTGTAACATTTTACATGTAATAGTAGACCCTCTGTACAAGAAGTGAGTGTTTTTCAACTTCTCCAACTTTGTTTCACAGTAAATTCAGCATGTTCTAAGTATTTTCTTGATTTTCAGAGAATGTTCACTTGGTCCCAAGATAAAAGGTCGCCCAATATCTGTTCCTCAAATCATTTTGGCGATACCTCAAGTTAATACTTTTGAAGAATTGAAAACCAACGCCATACCCATGTTCCAACTACTTGGCCCGTACATTTATGCTGACCCGATTTTGTTATCTAAACTTATCCGCATTTGTAAAAGTTCCCTATCACAGGTATTTACTTTGCTGACTCTGTTTTGTTTTTTCATTTGTGGTTTACTGGTATTTTACTACTATTTTGTGTCCTTTCAGCTTGGTTTGGATGGCAAGTTATCCCCCCCTTCCAATGCTTCCATGTACTATGAAGTCATGACACTGTTGGACGAATCAATTCTTCCTGCACTCTCATTCCTGGATGGAAATTGCTGTATTGCTGAAGATGTTTGGAATGTGTTAAAGCTATATCCCTATGCTCATAGGTTCGTTAACAACTGTATATATGTTACATTTAGAATTAAATAATGCATTCTTTTTGAAAAGTAACTTCAAACCTAATTTTTTTTCAATAGGTACAGTATGTATGGACGCTGGAAAAATGAGTCTTACCTTCACCATGCAAAGCTTATGATACGGCATGCCGAAGCCCACAAAAAGGTCAAATCAATTATGAAAAGAGTCAGCAAAGAAAACATCAAACAGATAGGAAGATTAATTGGCAAAATGACTCACAGTGCACCTGGATTCATATTTGACTATGTAAGTATTTATATGGTTTCTTTTCAACTAACAATAATGAAATAAATTCTTAATCTATATTTGTTTATTTTATAGATGCTTCTACAAATTCAGCTGTATGACAACTTAATTGGACCTGTGGTTGATTCCCTTAAGTACTTGACATCTCTATCATATGATATGTTAGCGTATTGCTTGGTTGAGTGTCTTACCCAGGCTGATAAGTTAAGAGATCGTGTTAAGCATGATGGCACTTCTATATCACAGTGGCTGCAAAGTCTTTCATCATTTTGTGGAGCCATATTTAAGAAGTACAACATTGAGTTGTCAGGCCTTTTACAGTATGTTGCAAATCAGCTCAAAGCCCAAAGAAGGTACATTTATTCTTCAGTTTTTTAAAGTTTGAATCTATTTTATTCAATAAAATAATTGCTTGGTTTAATAAAACTAAATTCATCTATTTTCAGTTTGGATCTTCTTATCTTGAATGAAATAGTCCATAAGATGGGAGGTATTGAAGCTGTTGAAGACATGACAACAGAGCAGTTGGATGCCATGGCTGGAGGGGAAATCCTGAAAGGAGAGGTAATCTATAGATCTGAATTATATATCGTTTTTGGTTTTACAATTTGTTTAAAAATAATTTTTATCTTGCTTTTTATTTATTTTAGGCTGCGTACTTCAACCAAGTGCGCAATACTAAAAAGTCATCTACTCGTCTTAGGGAAGCACTAGCTGATCAAAATCTTGCTGTTGCACTCTGTTTATTGATGGCTCAGCAGCGTTACTGTGTTGTGTACCATGAAACTGAGAGCTCTCACCTCAAACTTGTCGGTAGACTTTATGACCAAGCCCAAGATACCTTAGTTCAATTTGGCACGTTTTTGTCCCAAACAATGACTGTTGAGGAATATGTCAACCGTCTTCCTCCAATTGATAGCTTACTATTAGTCTATCATATTCATACTGATGTAGCATTCTTCTTGGCAAGGCCCATGTTTAATCATGCTATTGCTGTAAGTATTATCTGTTAAGTTTTGTTATTTAAATGTAGCCTGGTAATATTCTATTAATGCCAATTGGTTCTGCAGCTAAAATATGATGTCCTGCGGAAGGCTGAATATGATCAGTTGAGAAAGGCAGACCCCAACTTGAAGAAACTAACTAATGCTCAAAAACAACAAAAATATGTGGAGGCTGCTTCTGAAGTCATGGGGCCTATAGTAGAATCTGTGAAACCGCTCCATCCTATGAAGTTATGGGAAGATGTATCTCCACAATTCCTAGTTACTTTTTGGTCTCTTACTATGTATGATTTGTATGTACCTGCTGAGGCATATCAGAAGGAAATTGCGAAATTAAAGCAAGAAGCTGCTAAGGCTGTAGCAGATATGGTAAGTTTCTATGTTTTAGGTATTGGTATTTGAATACCTTTTGTTGCTGGTCTTCATAAAGTGTTGCAATCCCTCAATGTATGTTTATAACATTGAAATTCTTAATTATTTTGCAGCCATCTAGCAAAAGCAAGAAAGAACAGGAGAGGTATCTTGCACTTGCAGATAAATTACAAGATGAAAAGAAAAAGCAACAGGAGCATGTTGATAGGGTACATGCCCGCTTAAGACATGAAAAAGAAAGTTGGTTCCTTTCACGGTCTGCGAAGGCTGCTAAAAACGAGACCATAACTCAATTTCTTCAACTTTGCCTGTTTCCACGCTGTATATTTACTATGGCTGATGCAATGTACTGTGCCAAGTTTGTGCATACAATCCATAGTCTGAAAACTGCCAACTTTTCCACATTGTTGTGCTATGACAGGCTTTTCTGTGATATCACTTATTCTGTTACCTCTTGCACTGAAAATGAAGCCAATCGCTATGGGAGATTCCTCAATTCTATGTTGGAAACTGTGATGAGATGGCACTCTGATAAGGCAATATTTGAAAAGGAATGTGCTAATTATCCTGGCTTTGTTACCAAGTACAGAGTTAGTAACCAATTTTCTGAAGCCTGCAATCTTGTAGGTTATGAAAACTACCGACATGTTTGTCATAAATGGCACTACAAGATAACAAAAGCCATGGTAGTATGTCTAGACTCCAAGGATTATGTTCAAATACGTAACTCTCTCATCATTTTGAGGAACATCTTGCCACACTTCCCAGTGTTAATAAAATTAGGCCACATCATCCAAAAGAAACTGGAAAAGATTTGTGAGGAAGAAAAGAATCAAAGACAAGATTTGTATGCTCTGGCTATGAGCTACATAGGTATGATTAAATCTAAAACTGCCACCATGATTCCTGAGTCAAGCTTCCATCAAGTGGGAGACAAGCAAGCTCGCCAAGAAGCTGCAGCAGCTGCGGCGGCCGCAGCGGCAGCGGCTGCCAAACCACCTGGGGCAGCAGCTCCATCTGCTTCAGAACCACAAAAGTCCATCAATGGAGAGAATAAGGGAAGTGCCCCTAAGGAAACCCGTGAGGTGAGTACAACATTACCAAAATTTATGAACTCTTAAAATTTTAATGGACTTCTGGAGCTTATTCATACTATGAGCATTTATTCACAGCGGGAACGTGAGAAAGATAGTGAGCCCAAAGAGAAAGTACCTAGGAAAGAAAAGAAGGAACGGGACGACAGGGAGGAGAAATGGGACGAAGATTGGAGAGAAAAGAGAAAAGAAAAGGAAGACCGTCTTTCCAGGGTAAAATTTTCAAATATTTTTGCTACATTCTGTCAAAGAAATTAAGTTGAGTTTTTTCATATAATTTAAATTTGTTTTAGGATGACCGTTTCATGGAAAATGAGGACAGACAAGATCGAGACAGGGATAGAGGCCGTGATAGAGATCGTGACAGGGAACGCGAGAAGGAAAGGGAAAAGGATTCCCATATTCATTCAATAGATGATAGAGAACTAAGCTCTGTCAGTAATAGTTCAGCAGGCTCTGGTCATAGACGAAGCCAGGAGCCCATAGACCCTGATAGAGGTACACCACATTGGATTGAATATTTTTGAAGTTTAATAGTAGTTTATTTGTGTTTTACCAATACTAGTTTTGTTTCAAATTTGTTTTTCTTCCAGATGTTAAAAGACGGAAGACCGAGGCCAGCTCTTCCTCGAAGGTTAGTATCCAGGTCTGCTGATGTAATTGTATCTCCTCCTTGGAGACACCCCCAACCCTTGGACCATAATCCCCAATACTTGGAACAACATGGATGAAGATTAGTGAAGCTCCTTGGGTGTCCTGTCACTGAAGTCCTTCGGATCTTGTCCCATCTGTGGTCTATTCGTCTCTGATCTTTCGGAAGAACTCAGGAAAGAGTTTTTGGTTCATTCCTGTCAAAATTTTGGATCTCGACTTAATTGGCTCATGTGTAGTCAAAATTTGGTTCTCATCTATCCTTTGCCAGAGATGTAACTGGCAGTAAATCGTCAGAGAGCCAATCCATTGATACCATGTGATTCAAGCTGAATTCAACTTTTACTTGGCTGACTGACACTTCACTGAAGAATATCTGAAGATTGTCAAGTGATAATGAAAAGGCAGTGAAGAAAAGTAGGTCAAGAAATGAAGCCTGTCAGCCTGTCCTCATGAGACTTCTTTTTTTAGACAGCATTGGTAGTTGACCATTATGTGGGCTCTTTTTCCTTTTAAGTTTGGTGATTGATGGTAAGTGACCTGCCAAATCTAGCTGTCTGCTGCCTCTCAAGGATTTTCATTTTCTATCTATTAAACAAGCCTATAAGTGAATTTATACTTTGTTAGGGGTACCACATTGTACTTTTATTGATTGTGAATAAAGCTGGTAGGTTTAGTAGTGTGTTAACGCTAAATAACAAAGAACTACCTAATTTGTATTTCTGACCTGTACCTGAATTCGTATTTCTATTTTATTCATCTGTACCTATTAGGCTGTGTTTAGTTTACCAGTCAGTTCTCGCCAATCATGTCCTTGTTTGATTGAAGTGAATGTTGCTCCAGTATTAAGCACATTAGTTTTTTGCTTCCCTGAAGTTTGTCCTGTACTGATAACTCTTATTCATCTTCAGATGAAGTTTGAAAAAGTTTTCACTCTCAATTCATATTATGTATCAGATACGTTTTTCCTACTCTTTAACGACTGATGTTCTTATCCTTGTCCACTTATTGATGGTACTAAATGGTCGCGGCTCAAAGATTAAAAGAGTGCAGTTCTTATCTTTTTTCTTTTCTTTTTTAACTGTCATTTTAGATTTTTCAAGACTGAATATTTTTAGTAAGCATTTGGATTAAGGCGTTTTCTCCAGATAAGATTTTATTTACACCAAACAAGAACTTAAGTTCTTTTCTAAACCTTTCATAAGTTATGCTCCTTTGCCATTCCTTTGTTATTGGAGAATGTACTTCCCCTGGGTGTTTTACTAGAGTTTTCTATAAATTTTATTTCTTTAGTCTCCATAGTTTTTTAATCTTTGCTTTGCTGTAAGAAACTATGGGTAATGTATAGTCCCTTACACTGTTCTTACTCAATGATTTGATTTTGTACAACTGCTCTTTTCCTTATCTGTAAGAGTACTCAAATGATTGTAGAATTTTTATTCTCTTCCACTACCTTGGTGACAATATAGAAGGGAATTTGGCATTTCCTTCAATTTATTATCTTTGTTTGGTATAGTCAATCCCTATTGTCTGTTATGGATTGTAGTATTTTATAATATGATACTACTATAAATAAAATCATTTTTGAGGTTGGATAGTTTGAAACAGCTTTCCAAATTCGATTCATATTCTTGAAGATTCTGTCAGTGTTCAACTTCTTTTTTATTTATTTTTGACCTGGACTGAACTGTGTTACCTACTTGTTTGCAATTCTGAACATTCCTCTGGTATCTTGGGGTTGGAAAAAAGTACTCATAGGGTAAGTAGAAGTGAATAGATTTATACCTGCCATCAGAAGGATATTTTCTTAAACTCTCCAGTTAATTGTAGCATGAAGAACAATGTACCCTCTAACATTCAAACTCCTGTTCATTTCCATGAAGGTATGCAGACTAGCCTGGCGTGGTCTGTTACTGTCTTTCACGACCTCAGTTTTCTTGTATTAGTTAATAATTATGGATTATGGTCTGAAGGGTAACATTGACAATACTTGTTTGCTGGTTGACTTTGTTGTGAGATGTTTGCTATAATATGTCTTTTCAGAGCTCTAAACATGATGATCGGAAAACAGCACAGCAACATATTACAGCTGCTCAGTTAGATATTTTAGATGAAGTGACTGGTGCTATAGGAAAAGAAAGAAGGGAGCGTGGTTCCCGCAGTAAGAAGATTGCTCCTGATTCTGATGAGAAAGAATTGCGCAAAGAAAGGAAGGTTGGAAGAAAACGGGTATGTAGCACATCGTATGTCTGATTTATGTCAATGTTACATTTTAAAGCTGTAACTTAAAAAAAAAAAACACAACCTTTTACGCTTTTAGGGAGAAAGAGCTGTTGATGATCCGACTATAGAGCTCAAACGAAGAAAGGATGAAGGTTTGTATATTCTTTGACAAATACTGTTAACAATAAGATTACTTTGCTTTAGAATTTGTAATTTTTTCTGTCGTAGCATCAAAGATTGCCCACCAAAATGGTGATCAAGTTGACACTCATCGAGACAAACACCGTTATTCAAGGGTAAGATACTGTTCTTTTTTTGGTGTGTGTGTATGTGTGTTAGTGCTTTTGTACAACTTGTATCTTGAGTGTTTCACTACAGCTTGAAGTTTACAGTTTGCAAATGTTCTTTTATTGTTGGCAGGAAAAATCCCCTTATGGAAGTGCTAGGGAGAGACCACATGATCACCTTGAACACTCAGAGACAAGAGAAAAACAGTATCCTTTTTGCTCATTATTTGATTTTGGTGTATTACTTTACAGCTTCAATATTATAGATAAATTTAGTGACTACCTATGTATCACTTTTCAGTACTTCAGTACTAGGAAAAAGTGTGTGTTATGTCCTTAACTCAATGATGCAGCCGTAGGAATCTGGACTCAAAAAGAAGATAATGGTCAGCAGATTTGACAGACAATTAAGACTTCTCTGAAGATTCAGCTTCACTAACTTAATTGGAAACTAAATAACAGTTTGTAATCTGTTTTAGACCCTTATGTTTGCTGATCTCAGACATGTTAACTTTATTACTATTATTTTTGTCTTTTTTTACATGTTTTAAGACTTGGCATTGAGACCTTTTATTGATCTTCTCTGCTGAATTGTGTTGAATTGAAATCTGTTCATGAATGATTTTAGTTGTTTAATTTCTACCAGTGTTTAAGATGTAGCACTTTGTTTTTTGTGTTGTAATGAGTATTAAGTTAAGATGTACAGTCGACTTGAAATGAAGGGCACGGACTTGAATTTGAAAGCTGTGCTTGTAAATGGAAACGGAAGGAAAACAATCAGTGTAAAATGAAAAGTGTTTAAAACTCTAGGAAATAAATAATATGATTTTTTAAGCTATAATCACGAGTTGCGTTGTTGTGGTCTGCGTCCCCTCATTAGTCGCGGTGGCAGCCCTGAGCCTGGCCGCTGTGCTCCGGCTGCCCCTTTTGTCCCGAGTGGACGCGCTGTCAGCTCGTCCGTCATTCGGCTTCACGTTGTGTAGGTTATTACGGAGAGCGAGCGCCGTAGATGAGGGTGCACGTCCTGGCCGCCGAGGAGGACGACGAGGCCCCCATACCCCTCACGACGTGGTGTCACCCGCCTGAGCCATCTACAATAGGAGGGCGATTCTAGGGCTCCCTTGGGGGGGGGGGGGGGGCAGTACCGTGTGTCACAACGCTACACAACAGTGTTGCGGGGTTTGCATACCCTAGCGCCTTACGGGTGGAGCGAGTAGGCAACCCAGCATACTGTTGTGTCGCGGCCCTGACACGGTACCATGAGGACACCTTCTCAGCGGTGTCTCTGAGCCTCTGAGCTCATTTGAACGTTCTCACGACGTTTTCAACACCACCTCCACCCTATTTTCAGCGCGATCCTCCTGAAAGGCGTCGGCATCTCTTCTGGTTGTACAGTACCGGATGCAGGCGTGCGTGCGGGCTTGCCTATCGTCGTTCGCCGAGGCGCCTTACGGTCCCGTGCGAATATGCAACCCATCTGGACCGGGGGCGCGGGAACTGCGGAATCAAGTAAAAGCTTGGCAGGCGTTGTCCTGCAAAGTGCGCTGAAACAAGCCACAAGCCGATCGGGATTCAGGGCCGATTCAGCCCTGCTGGAGCGTGTTGTGGCTGCGTCGCTCGCTGGACGCGGGACAGAACAGGCGGGCGGAAATGCACGAGTGTCGGCCGCTCGCTGTCACTCACAACTCGGTCCAGACGATTCAAGTCGCGTCTGCTGGGCATTTATCCAAATAGGAGCCTGGGCGACCTTCATCAAGGCCAGCAGTTTGCAATCCCCCCCCCCCCTCCTGACTTGTCAACTTCACCGCCTGCCCCGAGAGTATTTGAGCGGACGAGGCGTGCCGGAGCGAGACCAGAGCCCGATCGGATCCCGAACAGATAGCACGACTGCAGTTCCGGACCACACACACATACATACACACTGCCGTCCTCGAGCGCCGCGCGGAGCAGCAGGTCGAGCAGGATGCAGAGCGTCATGGGCAGTGCGGTGGTGGTGCTGGCGCTGCTGGCGGTCCTCATGGCGGGGAAGTCCAGCGTCTCCGCCGGCCCCGTGCCCAACCCCGACCCGGACATCGTGAGTAAAGTGTATCTCGACTAACGGAGCAAGAAGAATAGCGGGTAGAACATAAACGTCATTGATTGGTCGAAAGCTTCCCGCCCCTACGTCACGCCGGTGGTGAGGGTAGGCGCTCGGCAAATCAGGAACCTTTATGTTCTACCCGCGATTCCTCTTCCTCCGTTAGTCGAAAAACACCATTATTCCTCTTGTATAGCCATTCTTTTGTCGTACCCTCCTCTATCCAGTGAGAATTTTTTCGGACGACATCGTTTCGACATCGTTTTTCATATCGTTACGATTGGAATGTGGGCTTTTCGACAGTGGGATTCGAAACGAAACCGATCGTGGAAAAGCCACTGATTTCAGGCATTCTTTCATATCACAACGACGTGAAAACCGATGTCAAAACGATGTCGCCGGAAAAACAAATTCTCACCGGGTTGTTTGTTAGTGACCACTTTCGAACTTTGACGCGCAGAGAGCCAAGCGCTACGTGGTGAGCGTTCCCGCCGCCGCCGTCAACCTGACAGGGGTATGTAGTCCTGAATTGTCCGGTTCAAGCTGCTCACTGCTCACAAAAACCTACCGAATCCAGCCGTATTCGAGGTAGCTGGTATAATGCCCTGTTTCTGTTGTTTGCCTTCACAGTGGGTTCCGTCCGTGGTGCCGCTGGGCCAGGCCATCCTCAGCCCTCAGCCCTACATCATCGGCTGAGCCCCCCCCCCCTCTCCCGCAATCCAAAAACCCAAACAACAACAACAACACAACCTCGCGACGAACGTCAACGACTTATTGCTAGTTCATAGGATTATCAAATTACTACTTTGTAAGGCCCTTCCCTTCCTGTACATATTTGTAGATATAAGGTTCATTGTGATGCACAATAAATGCGAAAAAATAAGATATGAAAGCCCATATTTTGGTAGTATATTAACATAAATAA